CCCCAAAACCCCAAAACCCCAAAACCCCGGGATACTAGATTTTACAGGCTATTGATAGTTTTAAAATTTGAAATTAATTTTAACAGTTAGATCATTTCTTTTTAGGAGCATTCTTTGTTTGGGCTGCAGCTTGCTACTGAGCTAAAATTTCCTCAGGGTCAATGATAGTTAATTCTACATTAACCTCCTGCATTTTATTTAAGATACCTCTTGTGACATCTTTTATATTAATTTAATAAGTCCCACTCTTAAAGTTCTCATTAAGTGTATAAGTTAGGTCTTTAACATAGCAAATGCCTTCTTTAGATTAAATCTAGTCTTTTAGCACTTCCTTCTTTTAATTGAATTTATAAGTAACCCATTTCTCTTCATAGTCATCTGGATTTTCACTGGGCGCTTCACCTTCAATGAGTGGAGTTTTTCTTATCTTCTCAAGTCTTCCAAGCTCAAACTCAAAGACTCTTCCATTTTCATTTACCATTACTAATGGATCAGGAGTTATCATTCTCTTTGGCTCAGGCTCATCAGGCTATCCAGGAGCAGGGGCCTTACCACCTTTGACATTCTTGGCAGCAGCTGCTACTTTCTTTGGATCTTCTTCAACTGGAGGGGGATTAGGATCTTCGTATGGAGGGCCTTGGTATACTATATGCAATTCAAACTCAATGAAGTTGTTTTCTTTTCCAACCTCGAATAAGATCTTATTTTTCCCATCATCTTCTTTTTCTTCTTCAGCTTAGCCTTTTTTAGGAACAGCCTTTGGATCAACTTTTCCTTTTTAGTTTTTAGGATCAATTTTTTCCTCTTCCTCCTCTTTCTTAATCAGCTTGAAGAGAATCTAATTAGCTTCAAACTCAGGCTTATTGTCTTTATAATTGCTCACAAGTGTATAAGTTCCACCTTGGACGTAAAATCTTCCTTAGCCTTCTCTCTTCCCATTTTCAAAATAACCCTCATAAACTGTTTTATCAAGTGATGTTAGTTAGCCTTTTCCATGCATTACAGCTTTTTAAACTTGACCTTGATATAAGGATCCATTTATAAATTGAATCATGCACATTCCATTAGGCCAGTGATCTCTGAATTCTCCCTAAATATCAATTAGATCAAGTAATGAACTTACTGTATATGTATTTCTATCTTTAGTGTAAAGAGTGCCCTAGCCATGTCTTACATTAAGGTTCCATTCACCTTTGTACCATTCGTTAGACTTAGAGTATTATATCTCTCCATACCCATGACGCTCTCCTTATTTGAATTCACCCTTATAAACTGAGCCATCATTATATCTCCTCTCACCTTTACCATTAATTTCCCCTTCATTAAATTCGCCCTCGTAGTACGTTCCATCTTTCATGATCATGATACCATACCCTAAATAAGTTAGTTTATCAAGCATTTTTACCATGCTTAACTCCATTAACCCAGTGTCCTTTGTACTAAAAGAAAGCATTTTCATAGGTGTAAATGCCTTCCCCATTCCTAAGCTTTGTAATTGGATCTATATCTCCAACAAATCTCTAAATACTTATAGTTAAGATTGATTGATTGAATAATTATCTGATTAGGCTTTAATTGCAATACTTACATCCTTAGTCTCTTAAAAGTCGTACTGGCTTGTTTCTTTTGCAACTGCTGCAGGCTTTATAGTTTATTTTTTCATTTCTAATTAAATTTATAATTTAACTTAATTATTATCATAGTCTAATTCAAAAGCTATTAATCTCAATAAGGAGTTTTGTGCTATAATTAATTAATAAAGCATAAAAGTCAGAATCACTCAAATTATGGTATCAAGAAACAGATTAAACAAGGAGCTTATGGCGTTGAATAACGCCAAAGACACTGACATCCTCCTCCAACCAGTTAACGATAACCTATTTCATTGGCAAGGACTTATCAAAGGACCACCAGAGACTTCGTTTGAAAAAGGATGGTTTAAATTAGACTTCCAAATAGACTAGAACTATCCGATCAACCCACCTAAAGCTAAATTTATCACTAGAATTTTCCATCCTAACATTCATTTCGAGACTGGGGAAATATGCCTAGATATTTTGAAACCTTAGCATTGGTCTCCAGCTTGGACATTGGAAAGTTTATGCAGAGCAATTGTAAACTTATTAGTCAATCCAAATGCTGATTCACCTTTGAATTGTGATTGTGGGAATTAGATTAGAGCTGGTGATATGCTAGCTTATAGAACAATGGCTTATATGTATACAGTAGAATTTGCTTGTGAGGAGTCTAAGGAAGAAGCTGAGATGATATTGATGCAAAGAAAATTATAAGAATGAATTTTTATATGACATAATTGGAGAAAGAGAATATATGTATTCGTGTTAATCATTCATCCAGGATCCAAATGTATACACTTTATCATTATTGTGAATATCCCTTTATTTTTTAATTTCATAAATTCTCATTTATACTTCTCAATGGGGTTTTGGGGTTTTGGGGTTTTGGGG